CCCCACTCATGCACATGCACACACTGTCTCTCTCTCTAAAATAAAACAATAAGAAGATGAAGACACATCATGAACCCCAAAGAATAATTTCCTGAGGATCCAAAGACTTCAGTTGGAAAAAGTGAAGAAAGAAACTAAAATCTGATTTTATGGCATTATCTTTCTATTGCAAATTATCATCACAACATGAAATTTTTGTTTTTTATTTTTAGTCAGAGAATAAAAACACAAAATTAAATTTCTTGGTACTTATACACTTTAAAGAGTATGTTCTTGGTCCTTCTCCCTCTTCCTACTGCAAAGGCCACAGTCTCAGAAACAGTCTAGCATATCCTTTTGAATTCATGTAGAAGAGGCTCCTTTCCCATGTGACTCTGGTTACATAATTACTCCCCATACTATGCTTTCTCATATTCTAACTTTCCTCTGACCTGAAAGTTACGATTTTAGCAGAAGATGTGCCTTTTCTTCAGAATATCGAGGTCATGCTGATGAATATGAGCTATTATGCTGACAAAACTGGTCAATGATATTTAACTGTCCCTATGGCTTGTTGACCATTTGATATCTTGAATTCAACATTTCATTGTCTTTAGCCTCCCGTACTTGTGTGGTCAGATTCGGGAGTGTTAGGAGAATTGTACTTCTGATTGCTCAGGCCCTTCCCTCCCTCTAACTCTCTATCTTTTCATCTTACTCCCTATGGTGTATTGAATGTATGCTTCCTCCAAAAGGCAAAAAAGAAAAAGAGAGGGAGGGAGGGAGGGAGGGAGGGAGGGAGGGAGGAAGGAAGATCTTGGAAACTATAAATGTGACTTCATTTGGAAAAAGTCTCTTTTTTGGTGTAGCTTAGTTAGTGACTGATTGCAAGATGATATCATCTCAGATTAGTGTGGCTCTGATAACAAGTGTCCTTAGAAGATAGAGATAAGAGAGAGAAGACACAACCACCGAGAAGACCACCTGAAGATGGACTCAGAGAGTGGAGTTAGGCTGCCATGAAAATGGAATGGCTGGACCCCCAAGTTGAAGGGAGAGGCGAGTGAGGATCCTCCTGTAGAGCGTTTGGAGGGAAACTGAGCCTGCGAACACCCTGAATTCAGACTTCTCTTCAGCTTTCTGCAAGAATCAATTTCTGTTGTTTTAAGCCACCAAAACTGTGGTAATTTTGTTACAGCAGACCTAGCAGACTAATAAGTTCCCTGAGCCTTATTTTGAGTGAAATTAGCAGATTTGTGTTTCCTCATTATATCATTCTTTCTTAGGATCTGTCAGCTCATCTCCTCATGTTGTTCCATGAGGAGAGTTGTCCTGCATGAGAAAACTCTAAGTGGTTTCATTGTTTAAAATTCCACTTTCCGGAATTTCTTTTCTTCGCTATTTCTGCTCCTCCCATTTTCTTATCTCTCTCTGCCCATTTCCCCTTTGGCTTTACTCAACTTGCTTGGTTTCTTAAAATTTGGCACAGAAATCTACACATCATCCAACCTCCCTACCCCCAAACACATTTTCCTTTATTAATCTACATTAACTATTATGAAATCTGATCTCTTTGTCTCTATCTCTACTTTATCACTATCACTGCCTCAAATCCTCCTTCAATATGATCAGGCATGTCCCATATACTAGGAGAGGTGGGAATAATTTCTCAGGGAAATATCTGGATATTCCCTACTTACAACTTCTGTCTGCAAACTACAGACTCCAATGCTACAAAATACTACTGAAGCAATTATTTTTCTACTCTTTCTAAGCATCTGGAGCCCACTGCTTCTTTTCCTTTTTTTTTTTTTTTTTTAGTTATAAATTTATTTTGAGAGAGGGAGAGAGAAAATGAGAAAGAGAGGGGCAGCAAGAGCGAGAAAGAGAGAGAGCGTCAAGCAGACTCCAAATTGTCAGCACAGAGCCCAATGAGGGGCTCGAACTCACAACCTATGAGATCATGACCTGAGCCAAAACCAGCAGTTGGATGCTTAATTAATTAAGCCACCCAGCTGCCCCTGGAGTCCACTGCTTCTATCAAGGGCTTTGGATTTCTACAGGAGAGGGTATATGTATCTCTTTGTCCTAAGTAGCCACTTGATTGTTATAAAGAATACACTTCCCAGTGTCCCCATGACCATTGGTATCATTCCTTTTTCTGTTGCTCCATGGCACACTTAAAATTTCCTTTTTTCTTTGTTTTTGCATTTAAATGGCCTTCAACCTCTACTCAGAGTTTCTTGTAGCCATGACGCCTTTATTCCTATAGTCAGCCTCTCAAGTGTAGACTCTCATCTCTGACCTGAACCTGCACTGTCCTCAAGGCATTTTATGATTTTCAAGCACCAAATCATTTAGGCTAGATATTCAGAATTAACTGTTGGGTTGGGGTTCTGGCATCATTATTTTTTAAAGTTCCCTGTGTGCTTTTGGTGTACAGTTCAGCAGCTGCTGCTTGATCCTACCCAGCGCTTAACAGTCTTTTGGGAAAATATTCGAATGCTCGTTGCATTATATTATTTGCAGATGTGTGAAATCTAAACTCAAGCCTAACATTGGAAATCTTAGTTCCACGCCAATCTAATCTCCAACTATCATGTATATAGACTCCTCTTTTCCTGCCAAACTGACTTCCTTGTATTCTTTATGTCTAAAGAAAAATGACTTCCCACGTCTTCCCACCTAAACTCACAAACATACACACAGGACACATGATCTGGCAAAGGATTTTTGTGGCAAATTTATGGACATGGGTCTGACAGGTATACATTTTCTACACTGAAATGTTAGACCCTGGAAATGTTTGAGAGTGGATAAAAAACAGTGGGGTAGAGCTCTGAAAACCCACCCAGGCCCCTCCCCTAAAGCCAGAATATTCTCTTATTCATTAGCTTGACTGTTTTCTGGAGAGAGACTTTGAAGTAAATATGTATAGTAAGCAACTAAGCTTGCTGAAAGAACATCTTTGGGTCAGAGGACGTGAAGAAACAGTTCTCCCATCACTTGCCTTTAAACTAAAGGAATTGCAAAACTTATTTGAGTCCTTAGCAAAGTTAGTAACAGACATTACCCAACTTGTGATCAGTTTCAACACTGCTAGCTGGCTGTGTAACAGACAACAGAACCCCTTCTGATGAATGAAGCAACTACGGGGTGGATTCTGATGAAAAGTTTCTTCTCCCACCTCTTCCCAGAAATAGAGATGTTTAAAAATTTCATACCCATGAGAGGAAACTAAAATAAAACTGAAACACAGAATCGCATTTTCAGGAATCTGGCATAGGACTATTATAAAGTAGGCCCAGTTTGTCAGGGAGTATTTTTATAATAAGCTCAGCAATGGAAAAATTCTTCTTGATTAACCAAATCACAAGACAGACATGATCTGGCTCAGAACCAATCACAAGCACTTAAAACTGTTATTGTTTCTCATCTAGTGTTCTTATTTATAAAAAAAAAGAAAGAAAAGAAAAGAAACAAGGAGGGGAGTTCAATCATTGTGGCTCTATAAAGTTAGATACTTTATGTTATCATTTTTCCTCTGCTCAGTGTAAATATTTAACTTCAATAAGAACATGTTGACCTATTGGTTTTACTTTCCTTGTGTACCAGGGATGATGGGAATATTCCCGAATCAAGTTTTACACACAGAATGAGCCCTGGATTCAGCATCCGAAGAACTGTTTCGAGTCCCTATACTGGATTTATTAAAGTGTTTCATGTTCCACAGCAATCCAGAGGGAGTGGAACCAGGTTTCCACCCACTGCCTGTGAACACTGAGGGTCAAGCAATGCTTCACTTATACAGGGTTACAAGATTTAGTAAGTGCAAGTCACTAACACGTTCTGGTTTGCCCGGGGCTTTCCTGCTTTAGCCCTGAAAGTCTAACATCTTGGCAACCCTTTCAAGTCGCTGGCAAATACAGGTCCATGGTCACCCTAGTGGCAGTCAGAGATTACAATCTGTCTCTGGGCTACAACCCTACTCTCCGTAACACCCTGAAGTTATTACTTGTAATGCTCAAGTTACTTGTAGATTTGTGACTTGTTCTCTCAACTAACAGCTCTACAGAGAGCTTTTGGGACCAGGGAATGAATGGGATCTTCATCTGTATTCCTCTAATAACAATAGAAAATAAATAAGCATTAGAGTAGGTAGTCAATAAAAGGTCATTGAATTCCAGAGCATTTTTTATTTGTAGTTAAAGACAAATTAAGCCTATGGGGATGGGGGAAGAATTGGATCTATTAAGTCATCACAATAACAGCCCTATTTGACCCCTAGATTCTCACCTGAGTAGTTTTGGCCCTTATCAATGATGTAGTAGAACAAAGATGTTAGCAGTGCTGAGTACTTGCTCTGCTTTTTGACATTAATATGACTTTGGCAAGCCACTTCTTGTGTACTTCAGCTAGCTTCAATGTAAAGCCAGGAAGCTGGGATTAGATGGCTTCTAAGAACTCTTACAGTCTTAACATGGTAGGCTTTGAACCACAACGAGTAAACAATGCTAATAAGGGTTAACTGAAGAAACAGACTTGCATTAGAAGCTGTGCCTTCCATATCACAAATAGGTATTGTTAGTTCTCAAGGGTTCCTTCCCTTGAGACATTCTCAGCAATGTGTGTGAATATCTAGCTCTTCCTACCAACACCGAAAGCACCCACGGTCTTTTGTGTTCTTTCTGCTCTCCTACTAGCAAGTGAAGATAAACTGATTTGCTCCCTTACTTGATCTCTATCTAAATTCTGCCTTTCCCTTGGTAACCCAGATTTGCTAATAAGTTTACTAGACTGAGAGACAAACTATTAAAAACAACCACCATTAAAACATCCCGTTTGAACGTAGGTGTCACTTTTCTTTCGTTCATAATTCCATGTTGAGTCATTTGTAACATTTTTCTCAGGTATTTATATTGCGTATCCCCTAATGACCACATAAATTAAGCATATAAAAGAATGAACGGATCAGCATCCCAAGAAACCTATTCTGTCCTGGTCCAAGGCTCTATACTTACCAGAGGATTTGGAAGGAGAAAGCCATACTCTTCAGAAATATGAAATCTTCCTAAAGATAATAATGGTATCGTCTTCAAATTCTGACTTTGAGGCTCCATAATTTTGTCTGAAGTATCTGCACTGAAGCCCGTTCTGAATGACAAATACTCCAAATGTATCAAAGACCCAGCTTAAGGGAGCTTCAGGATGGCATCTTCTTGCTGCGATTAATTCTGCAGTGTCTCAGCAACAGAGGAGAACCTTGATCTGAGGTTGAATTCCAGAATGCCATGAACTTTTTCTGACACAAGGCTGTTTAAACAATTAGAGACTGCTGATTTAAAAAAAAAAACAAAAACAGGCAAACAGAATCACAGAAGAAAAAATATCTCCTTTCTTTTCACACACATGTAGTAAGAGAAGATTGGTTTTAAAGACTGGTTTTAAATCCAAAGACAAATTTGCTCTCCTTCAGAAAAGGGGAAATGAACTAAAACTTCGGTCATGGTTGATTACAAATATCCTGACAGTAATCGCATCCACAGTGAATTTTGATAACTGGGTCTTTATCCCAAAAGAGCAAATAATTAAAACTGGAAGTGAGTTACATGTAGACAGATATTTCAGTAGTTGACTGAAAGACAATTACTGGAGAGCAGTAGGAAGACTCTAAATACATATCAGAACCTCAGAGGGGGTCTGAACAACATATTCTAAACAATTGCTTTGATTTACTTTAAGCAATGACATTTAATCATTTTTTGAAATCTTTAACTGCAACAAGGAGGAAATATATATTTTTAACAAGTGAAGTAGTGGGTATTAAGGAACTTAAGAGCCTGAATAGATTATTTGATTGAACTCTCTACCTTTATCAACCATCTTTTGAGAAACTTGTACTAAAATTGGTGATTTTACCTATGAAATAACTACTACTTTTACTGATTTTACAGATTAGTAAACTGAGGAACACACGTGTGGATAACCCTGTCTATTGTCACTCCACTAATTATTGGCAGAGTGAGGACTAGAGCTGAGGTATCTTGATTTCCAAGCCATTGCTGTGTTCACTAGGTTAAGCTTCTGGACTGTCTGTTAAAAGTGCCCTTACAGTTTGTTTGCTTTTGAAAGAGAGAGAGATAGAAATAAAAAAGAGAGAGAGTGAGAGCACATGCACACATGTGTGCGCTCCAGCAGGGGAGGGACAGAGAAAGAGAAGGAGAGAATCTTTTTTTTTAAGTGTTTATTTATTTTGTGTGTGTGTGTGTGTGAGAGAGAGAGAGAGAGAGAGAGAGAGAGAGATGGGAAGGGGTGAGGCAAGGGCAGAGAGAGATGGACAGAGAATCCCAAGAAGGCCCCAGGCTCAGCATGGAGCCTGACTCAGGGCTCGATATCACAATCATGAGGTCATGACCTGAGCTGAAATCAAGAGTTGGATGCTTAACTGAGTGAACCACCCAGGTGCTCCTATAGTTTGAATTTTCTTTACTATGGAGCCCAGTTATAACTTCCGGGCCATGGATCTGCACTATGGAAAGAGTGCAGAAGAGTCTACCTTTTGCCAAATGGACTCTAAACTTAAGTCAAAAATTGTAAACAAATTTATTTGGAAGCTAATTTATCTAAACACAACTTCCTCTACCTTTTCTCTATGATAAATAGAAAAGCTAAGAGCAAGAAATTCTCTGATCGTTCATTGAACAGTTCCAATGGAAGGTTCAATTTTAAAAGCTGTCTTTCAAAAGTAGCCTAATTGGTCTATGTGTCTGTTTTTGTGCCAATACCACACTGTCTTCATGATTACAGCTTTGAAGTACAGGTTAAAGTCTGGGATTATGAAGCCTTCAACTTTGGTTTTCTTTTTCAATGTTACTTTGGCTATTTGGGGTCTTTTTGGTTCCATACAAATTTTATGATTGTTTATTCTAACTCTGAGAAGAATGCCAGGCCAATTTTGATTGGGATTGCACTGAATGCATATAATGCTTTGGGTAGCATCAACATTTTAGCAATATTTATTCTTCCAATCTATGAGCATGGAAGGTTTTTCCATTTCTTTGTGTCTTTTTCAATTTCTTTCATAAGTTTTCTATAGTTTTCAGCATACAGATCTTTTACATCTTTGGTTAGGTTTATTCCTAGGTATTTTATGGTTCTTGGTGCAGTTGTCAATGGGATTGAATAGAGAACCCAGAATTGGACCCACAAATGTGTGGCCAACTAATCTTTGACAAAGCAGCAAAGAGTATCCAATGGAAAAAAGACAGCCTCTTTAGCAAATGGTGCTGGAAGAACTGGACAGCAACATGCAGAAGAATGAAACTAGATCACTTTCTTCCACCAGACACAAAAGTAACTCAAAATGGATGAAAAACCTAAACGTGAGACAGGAAACCATCAAAACCCTAGAGGAGAAAACAGGTTAACAACTTCTTTAACCTCAGCCACAGCGACTTCTTACTCAACACACCTCAGAAGGCAAGGGAAACAAAAGCAAAAATGAACTATTGGGACCTCATCAAAATTAAAAGCTTCTGCACAGTGGAGACAATCAGCAAAACTAAAAGGCAACGGACAGAATGGGAGAAGATATATGCCAATGGCATGTCAGATAAAAGGTTAGTGTCCAAAATCTATAAAGAACTTACCAAACTCAACACCCAAAAAACAATCTAGTGAAGAAATGGGCAGAAGACATGAATAGACGTTTTTCCAAGGAAGACATCCAACTGGCCAAGAGACTATAAAAAGATGCTCAACATCATTCGTCATCAGGGAAATACAAATAAAAACTTATACTGAGGTACCACCTCACACCAGTCAGACTGACTAAAATTAACAACTTAAGAAATAACACATAATGGTGAGAACCCTCTTGCACTGTTGGTGGGAATGCAAACTGGTGCAGCCACTCTGGAAAACAGTGTGGAGGTTCCTCAAAATATTAAAAATACAATTACCCTACAAGCCAACAATAGCATTACCAGGAATTTATCCAAAGGATACAGGAGTGCTGATTCATAAGGGCACATGTATCCCAATGTTTATAGCAGTGCTATCTACAATAGCCAAGTTATGAAAAGAGCCCAAATGTTTACCAACTGATGAATGAATAAAGAAGATGTGGTATGTATATACAATGGAATACTACTTGGCAATGAGAAATAATGAAATCTTGCTATTTGCAACAATGTGGATGGAACTGGAGGGTATTATGCTAAGTGAAATAAGTCAGTCAGAGAAAGATATCATGTTTTCACTCATATGTGGAATTTGAGAAACTTAACAGAAGACCATGGTGGAAAGGAAGGGGGAATAAAATTGTTTCCAACAGAGACTCTTAAATACAGAGAACAGGGGCACCTGGGTGGCTCAGTCGGTTAAGCATCCGACTTTGGCTCAGGTCATGATCTCACATTCGTAGGTTCAAGCCCCACGACGGGCTCTGTGCTGACAGCCAGCTCAGAGCGTGGAGTCTGTTTCTGATTCTGTGTCTCCCTCTCTCTCTGACCCTCCCCTGCTCACACACACTCTCTCTCTCTCTCACAGAAATAAATAAAAATGTTTAAAAAAATACAGAGAACAAACTGAGGTTTGAAAGGAGGATGGGGGAAGAGGAAAATGGGTGATGAGCATCGAGGAGGGTACTTGTTGGGATGAACACTGGGTCTTGTATATAAGCGATGAATCATAGAAATCTACTACCGAAACCATGAGCACACTGCATACACTGTATGTGCTAGCTTGACAATAAATTATATTTAGAAAAAAAATTTTTAAAGTAGCCTAATTGATTTATGCTCCATATGACACCTGAGAGCCACTTTCAATTATCTTCTTTCCTTCAACCCAATATTCAACCAGTCTTGACATTCAGTTTCTTACACCTTCTAAATGTAATTTCTCAAGCTTTATATGTTTAATCATCTTGTTTTCTCCATCAGTTTCATATGAACAGATGGCCCAGATATTTTTGTTTATGCTAGTCATGTTATTTTTCATCCACTCCCTCTACACCTTCTCAAGAATTTACTATAACATTATAAAAGCATAGAATAATAAAATACCAGAATTGAAAGGAACATTATAGAATAAAAGATCTAGTTCAATACCCTCATTAAATGTGTAAAAAGCTTGATATTTATGGAAGTGAAATGACTTATCAACTGTCATCCTTGAGAGTGCACATGAAGATTGGACTGGAATTCTGAGTAGCTGCCTCTCAGCCCAGAATGTCCCACTGTGAACTCAGCTAGGCCTACGTGAGTATGAATCTCTATCACCTACCCACTATGTGGCTTTTTAACAGGCAGCTTAAAATTCTGAGCCTCTGTTTCCACATCTGCAGAAAATGGTAGTGTTTATCCAAGAGGCATTTTGGGATAAGTAAATGAGAAGTCAGAAGTGAAACACTTATCAGATAACTGAAAAGGCCGTTTTTCTCATGCTCTTTTCACCTCATTCTGGAAATCTTTTTTTAAAAAAGTTTTTTCTCGTTTTCTTTGCTACTATTCTTATTGTATCCTTTTCTGTTCCAATTGCTGACTCCTTTTTTTATATCAGCCCTGATCTACAATTTGTACATATTTTCTACGTCACTGTGCTTATGTATTTCTATCTGATCTTAACCATCAATTCTATATTTCCAGGTTCTCAAATCTACATATTCAGTCTTGAATTTTCTGGATCCCAAGGTTTTAGATCTATGGTACTTGTGGGTCAGTGAACCTTTCAGGCTCTACCATAAACCCTTTTAAGAGCTCCTTGCTATAAATTAAAGTTCAAATTTTCTTGACCTGGCATCCAACGATGCCCATTGCCTGACCCATTAGTATCTTTCTAGCTGTGCAAAGTTCTACAATCACCTTGGATTTCTTTCACATCCCATCTCATGTTCTTCTGGTTTGATACTTACTAACAAATGTATCTCATCTTTTCTGTTAGATTGTAAGCTTCTGGAAGAATTCATACCCACCTTTGCATTTTTTTTTTTTCCTTTAGCAAAATGTGTCCAGTGTCTGGTGCTCCATAAATGTTTGTTAAACAAGTGGTCTTTCAGAGTGTCATGGTAAACCCCATATTTTTAGAACCGGGGTCTCAATTCCAGGTAGAAGTTTGTACTGGTCCACTGCACCACTGAAGGCCCTGCCTCACAGACTTCCTCTGTCCTAAGGAACATCATGAACACACA